CTAAAGGGATTATTAAAGTTTCAAAGCAGAGTCAAAAGGAACTCCAGGTTACACGACTAGGGTACTCATTTGCAGATAAATACCTTGACTATAAACATTTACCCATGCCCAGGGTAAGGAGCCAGAGCGACAGAAGATCACTTCAAGTCCTTTTTCTGGTAAGCAGGAGTAACAAAAATCAGGGGAGGAGAGGGACAGATGAATAACATCTCAACTAGAACAGGTCTGGGAAGGGACTGGAGTATCAGCCCTCTTTGGTTACAGACAACTTCTTATCAAGGAAACTATGGAGATCCATGGCCCTGGCCATGACATAGCTGCCCAAGCTCCAGGGACTTGGATTGCAATGTGCGCATAACTTCTGCTTCAGAAGCTATTGGAAGAACAGAAACATAAGGGAGGCCATGTGAGATATATCCGGCACATGTGAGGCAATTCAAAACATGAGCTAAAAACTGTGCTTGCAATGGGTCCAATAGACTGGCCGTCTTCAGTGGCCTTTACCCAAGCTCCTATAACAGCGATGTTGTGGAGAACATCCTATAAGCCAAAGTCCTATCACCTGTAAGGAAGGCTGGATGGGGTGTGTACAAGCACTGGGATGAAAGGCAGCTTTGTGGGGAGCTGACAAGCATGCCACATTCTTGCACAAAGAATCTCCCCCAGATGTGAGGGTCAACTACTCCTGGTTTGCTGTGGACACTTCACACAGTCCCTGAAGCAGAGGTCACCTTTACAGAAGAAAGTAGACTCCCCAATACCTCCCCTGCTATCTCCTCAGGCCTATTACCTCCTCTTCACCCCTACTCTCTCTTCCCAAAGTGAAACACCTCCCCCACAGTAGCAGCACAATATGACCATGGTCACCCAGCCATGTCTGCTCCCTTTGTCAGGGAGTACATGCAGCTGTTCTCCTTGTCTCTGCATAATCTGAGCTCTCTGAGGGCAGGCACAGTTGCAGTCGCTGTGCCATATCAGAGCTCCACCTCCTGTCCTCTCCAGTTCTGGACTTTTTAGCAAGCCACTGAAATACTCTCAGTCTCGGTTTTACCATATGTAAACTGGAGATCGTAGTGCTTGCCTTGTAGGATTCAAGATGTATTTTGATAATGTCTGGTTCAGTGGTCCATAAACTTTTTTTAGAGCACATAAATTCATACTCAATTTAAATCTCAAGAGAAATCCCAGCATATAAAATAGCTCTGTTGGCAGAAGAGGTGTAAGGCAGGCAGCTAGGACTCCTCCACCAAATGCTGGGGGAGTTCAGGGAGTCCAACATAGACGAGACCAGGTTCCAACTCTGACAGCCAGCTCAGGAGTGAACTGGAAATGCCACAACAGCAAGAGGAGGTGGATGGATTGTTTGACAAACCGGCATCATAGGTGGGAGCATCTCTAGGAGAGGCGGGCGAGGACTAGGAGTGGGAAGTGTAGCTCACACGGGAGGGCCCTGGGAGCATGGAGAGAAAGAAGCTGCCTCTAGATGTCCGGTGTCCACTGTCTCACACTGAAGACCCCACTCCAATTTCTTACAGGCAGATGGAGAAACGAGAGACTCCTTGCCACAGCCGACTCTCACCTGCTCAACGGACAGTCTCTGTTCTCCCCATGGAAAGCCTTGCCTCAACCCGCACCTGCTAGCCGAAGTGCCCTTTCCCTGATTTCACTATCCAAATCCGGCTTACCCTCAGAGTCCACATTGTTGCCACATCTCAGAGGCCTTCTGTGATTGTCTCTATCTGAGACCAAGAGCAGCATTTCCTTCCTCTAGCCTCCTGTAGCATAGAGGTGGGAAGAGTATACAGAGCCTAAAGACCGTGGGACTCAGTTTCTCCATCTAGAACTAAATTAGGTGACCCAGGTAAAGCCTAGCACACAATAGGTACTCAGCAAACAGAAACCGTTCATCATGATGTGGCTGCATCCGCTTCCAAGTTCTGGCACATAGTAGGTACCAACAAAAATGCTTACCTGGGTGACCAGTAGATGGCCTCACACCTCCAATAAACATGTCTTGCTGTCCACTGTCCACTGTCCACTAACTCTCTGAGCGCCCCGCCCCCCACAACTGGCCCCGCCCCCCACAACTGGCTCCCTTGAATTAGAAGCCATATTCTGGGAGCAGAGGAAATAGAGGAAGAATTAGGAGAATGCCAGGCAGCTGGACTCACCAAGCAACAAATGCTGGTGATGAAGACCTTGGGGGATTCATCTACCCATCGTCCTCCTCTAGCCTTGAGAGGGCTTTCTCCCATTTAATAGGTAAGAAAACTAAGACTTAGCAAAGCTCATGGCCCACTTGAGACCACAGCACATGCTTCCAACTCTATCAACTGGTGGCAGCATGTCTGCCAGGCTGCTGGAATAGTCTGGTCCTGCTTAATCAACATCTTATTTTACTGACAGGGAACCTCAAAAATGAGTAGAGTCTTGACCAAGGCCTCAGAAAACTAACGTTCAGGTCTGGTTCTAACCCCATTCTATACATAGGGTATGCCTGCCTGCTGATTTTTATTCCAGAGGGTGAGCAGGCTGGCTGCTCAGGGGGACAAAAGGAGGAATTTTACCCTTCTGGGCTTGAAGGCAGCTGTGAGAATCCATGAGAGCTACAGAGGCTCAAGCTAAGGCAACCAGGTCTGGAAGCAGCTACATAGCTCCTCCTGCACCCTTGTGCCTTCCAGGGGGAGTTTAGGGGGTCACAAAACATCAAGAGCTTTGCAGAGGCTGCAGAGGCTGCATTCTGAGGCTCAGTTCTGATGCTGCAGTGGAGGGGCTGAATGGAGGGCGAGGGCGGAGAGGGGCTGGGATAGAATAGCAATGAGCCAGACTGCTGGAAGCCAGCCAACCTCAGGTTCTGAGGACAGTCAGGGCTCCCCCACCCAGCCCCTTCGGGTGCGTGCGCGCGCGCGTGCACACACACACACACACACACACACACACACACACACACGCACACGCATCTCACACACACACACACCTCATGAAATTCTTCACCAAAAGCTGCTAAAGAAGCTATCATAGCAATGTTTAGATTAGCTCGTGTGAATGTGTGGCCAGTTGGCTTCTTAGCTCATCTACAATACCTCCCATCTGACTGTCATTTTCCATTGTCCATTTCACAGGGAGTCAAACTGAGGCCCAACCTCCCAGTCTTGGCTTGTGGGAACTGCATCTAATGCCAGAGATCAGGGGCCAAACCACGGGCTGGGCTTGTCACTAAGTCAGATTTTCTCCTGGGATCAAGCAAGTGACTAAGGAGGCACAGGAAATAATAAGCCTTCCACCCTCTTCTTTAAATTAACTGCCCCTACAGCACCTCTTCCCTAAGAGTCGCATGAGAAGTGCGCTCCCTCCCTTGTGACAGTGATGGGCCAAGTGTGTCTAATAACAATCCTTCCTTGGGGCTACAGGAAGACACTGGGTCTGATAAGAGCCTCTTCCAAGACTTCTGCAGCTGTGGTCTTACCTGTGGAGAATCAAGGCCAGCCCTAGGGAGACGCAGACTAGAAGAGGTGAAGACAGAGCCCTAGGGCAGTCTGTCTGTCCCTGAGTGTCTAGTCCCAGCTATCCTACTCTTAAACCCTGTATCTATCAGGTACCCTTCCTGTCCTCTAGGTTGCATCAACTCTCTCTTTGGCTTAAACTGCCCGTGAATTTTCCTCCTAGACCATATTCAAAAATACACATTTGTGTAGTACTTACGGTGAGTGCCTGGTACATAGTGGATGGCCAGTCCCTATTAGTCACCCGATATCCTCTCTGCCTCTCCCCACCGGTGAGAACCCTACCTGAAGATTTTACTGCCTGTCCTGTACCTACAAGTCTCAGGCACAGTGTGGAGTCGGCTCCCAAGTGAGAGAATCCATCTGTCCTCGTGTGCTATATGTGCCTTCCTACATGATCAGCATTTCATCCGTCTTAGCCCCCCAGGAGAATGTGGACCTCCACAGGCTCTATGAGGACCCTCACGGTCATCTAATGCCCTTCCTTTGAAGTCCAGAGCTGCAATAAAGACCCCCGAAGCCCACATGTTGCTATCCTGAAGAGCAAGTCCTTGGAAGTGAAACCCCATGTATGGAAGATCTGATTTTCTGGATTCAGAGTCCCAAAGGGAGAAATGGGCCTGGACTGAGCTCCCTCCTCCTCAGACCACCCTAAGTTCTCTCCTCCTAAATGGATTTGGGTACCAACACAGCTAATTGGGGCTAGGCTTGCACCATGGACCAGGCACCCTCTTAACAGTATCTCACAAATGGCATCCACCCAACCCCCTCATCTGCAGTCCTCAGTTGAGGAACTAGAAGTCAGGGAAGCTAAGGGACTTGTCCAAGGTCACCAGGCTAGGAAACAGTAGGATATCTCTAGAGTGCTTGCCTTCTAACATCTCTGCACCCTCCCCCAAGCCCTGGCGGGAGGGGGGCAGCTGAGGAGGAGTGAGCCCCACCTGAACCAGATGAGCTCTTGAGAAACTGGGAGGCAAGATTGAAGCTGGGGGTTGAAATGCCACAGTGAAGGCCCCTTTAGGCTGCCCTCAAGGGCTCCCAAGGGGTGAGGGTGCTCTCTTGCTGGTGTAGTGAAAAGACAGTCTTCCAGCATGCCACCCCTCCCCTGCCCGATATTCTCACTGCCAAATGAAACCTGGCAGCTTCTGAAAATAGCTCCGCGCTGCAGCAGGCACTCTGCCCGCCCTTCAGCAGGCTGGCACGCAGCTGGGGGTGGCCACTGTGGGCAGAGGCTGGCACACACAGGCCGGGGGTGGGTGTCACACATACAGTGCACAGGGGCGGCACAGAGCTGGAGGCATGTGGCAGCTGCCATCCCTCAGTTGTTCTGACCTTTCTACAGTGAATGAGGCAGAGGTGCTCGAATCAGCTTGGCGTGTTTACCAGACCAGGGGCGCCCTCTCCAGCCAGGATAAAGTCACTAATAGGGGTGTGGAGCTGCCCTCTGACCACTTGTGTCCACCTAGTTACACAAAAAGAAACCCAGGAATCACTGAAAAATGTTAAAAAGATGTTTATTAATATCTGGATATAAAATCCAGCAGTACCGTTCTAGCTGACATGATCTAAGGTTTCCCAGCCACTAAGAAAGGCCAGGATCTAGGAACAAGGCTAGGTGCCAGGCACTTGTCAGGTCATCTTCTCAGCACCTGGAGGATACCCTGGGCGTGGCAGGGCAGAGCTGGCTAAGGGTGGGATACCCTGGGCGTGGCAGGGCAGAGCTGGCTAAGGGTGGGGTCAGCCAAGAAAGACCCCTCTCTGCTCCAACTCATGCTAAAGCCAGGACCGGACCTCCAAAGCACGGCTCAGCAGCCCATCACCACCTCAGGTCTGATCTAGAGTAGAAAACGGAGCCAAGAACTCCCTTTCACAAAAGTACCCTCAGAGCAGCCCTTGCTATCAGCAGAGAGGGACTTTTCTACCTGAGATCTGCTGAGCAGGAAGAGACAGGACTTTTGTCATAGTGATGCTTTCAAAATGGAAAAGGGTTAAGGATGCCCACCCCCAACACACATACCCACACCTGCAATTGAGATGAGAAGTTACCTTTTGGATAGGGGGTAGTAACAGGATGCTTGGCCTCGGGGACTCTCGAGGACTGATATGTGGGCTGTGCTACGGTAAGGCAGGGCTGGACCACCCGGGGAAGTAAGCCTGCTGGACTATGCAGCCTCTGGCACACCAAAGAGAAGGGATGCTGGGGAGGGACCGCCAGTGTGAGGGAGACAAATCTCCCCAAGAAGGTAGGCCCTTGACTGTCCCTCCTTTTTCCTTTGTTCAGTATTCATAGACAGCAACATGGCCTCTGGTCACCATAGCAACCAATGGCCAGATACCTTTCTCAAGGCCAGACCCATCTGCCCACACAGCAGGAGGAAAAGGGTAGGTCCTCCACAACTCCCAGCGGCCTAGAAGCAAGGCCAAGTCCTAAAGCGGAGCAGAGCTGTGGCCTCTCAAGCCACACTGGCCAAGGAAGCTTTCCCGGAGCCCAGCAGCTTTCCAGGGCCTGAACGTAGGCTGGACTCTTGGGTCAAGTTCTTGAGCCTCAAGTTCAACATGACACATCAAGACAAGAAAATGATGCTTTTGTTATAAGAATGACCCCGGCCCCTCCTGGCCAGAGCCTCAGAGCACGGCAGTCTGTCCCTCTGGCTCCCCCACGAGCTACTGGTTGTTGCACCCTTGTGAGGCTGAGGCGCTGCCAGCCTGCTTCTTCCTCCGCTTGTTGAGGAGCCGATTGTTAGAGGTCTTCAGGTCCTTGATCTTCACCTGGTCGTAGTCCACCCGCATGGTGGCCAGGGCACTAGTCATCTCCTCCTGTGTGCCATCAGCAAGGGGGAAAGAAGAGGTCAGGACAGGCTTTCTTAAAAGCCGTCGTGTTCACCCCCGTGAAGCCTCTCAGTGACATCACTGGCAGGAGTAACAGCCATGTGCTGCTCCAGTGCCCACTGTGCGCCTGGCCTTGAACTCGCAATCCTCCCTACAGCTATTTTTATTATGGGGGACACTGAGCTTATTCACAAAGGCAAAGGAAACAGGTGACTCCCTGAGCCCACACCAAGGCTACCTGGGCAGAGAACTGAACCAATGGCATTTGCACAGGACCACAACGCCTGCGGACAACAGCATTTCCCTAGGTTCCCCAAGAGTTTGAGATTTTGAGACTGTACTCTGGGTACCCCAGTGGTCTATGATGCTAACTCCTAGGGACAAAACTGACCCTTATATGTCTAAAACAAGGCTAATTCCTATCACAAATGGCATGTCATAAGAAAGTTTCTGGCCAATGCTTGGGCCCCAAAACCTTTCATGGAGTCCCTGGCCTAAAGTCCCTTCCCTAACAGTGCCCCATGAGCACCACCCTAAAGGGGAAAATGTAGCAGTGCTCAGTGGCCTGCCCTGGTTGGATCATTGGGACAGATGCTGGCATCGTCTAGGCACAGGGGAAGAGCCAAACACCAGATACTAAGGCAGTGTCATGCAGGAATTCATAGAGACTGAGAAAGAATCTACCCACCTTGACTTCATCCCAGTGGTCCTTGTCTTCCTGTAGCACTCGGGCTGTGTGGAGTGGGGTCTGTGGGACCACCATTGATCGCTAGGAGGAACCCCAAGCCCATGGATTAGAGCCCGGAACTGTGTGGCACAGCCTAGGTTACCACCACACACCCTTCCCCCATTCTCAGGTGGGGAAATGGAGGCTCAGAGAGGTGAAGGAGCCTGGCTGGGACAGTGGCAAAGCCAGGCTCCAAGTGGGGTGTTACCATACATCACTGTGCAAGGTTCCAGTTCATCCCTGAACCCAGGCCTCCAGGGCTACCACTGTCCATCCTGCCAGCCCTATTCCAGGTCAAGACCATGCTCACATTGATCCAAGGATGGTTCATAAACTGCATGATGGTCAACCTCTCTGTGGGGTTTGTCTTCAGGAGCAGGCGGATTAGCTGCTTGGCTAGGGGACCCAGAAAAGAGGGGAGCAGTGAATTGCAGTCCCTCAGCCCTCTACATGAACCACAAGCTCTGTCAGGTGGGGCTGTAAGTGCTACATTCTTCATGGCCAGAAAGGGGGAACTAACAGTTGTGTCTTAATTGAGGTCACTAAGTGCTTAGGATAATTTGTTAAGCAACAATGGATAATTAATACAAGGCAGGATTGTTTGTGCTACCTAGGAAGGAGAATATGGAAGGAATATAAGGAAGAGGGGGTCCTGGGAAGTCAATTTTTTTTTCTTGAAACAGGGTCTCTCTATATAGGCCTGGCTGTTCTGGAACTATGTGAATTTATTGTTTCCCAAATGCTGGATTAAAGGTGTACACCACCACACCTGGCTGAGGAGACAAATTTTGAGCCCACTTGACAGATACAGAAACTGAGACTTGAAAAGTTCAGATGGCTTGCCTAGGTTCACATAGCTAGGATGTAAACACAGATTAATTTGACAGCCAAAGGAATATCTCCCAAAACAAAGGCTGAAGGGACCAGATTGGGCAGAGAAGTTCACTCACCATCCTCAGAGACCTCTGACCACTCAGGCTTGGGGAAGCCATATTGACCCAAGCGAATCCTTCTCTTCATGCCTGGAGAGATGGCCTGGCCAGTGTTGGAGTAGAAGGGTGGGAATCCACACAAACTGGGAAAGAGAAGAGGTCATTGGGTATAAGGGTTGGGCACACAAGGGTCAGGCAGACCTACCCTTTCCTTTCACTAGGGACATAGGCAGCCAGACACCACAGCAATAGCACCAGCTCCCGCAGACGACTGAACATATCCCAAGAATGCCATCAGCCTTGACATGAGGAAGCCCTCAGGCAGTCGCAAGGAAAGTGTCTCGGGACACAAGAAACAAAAGACAATCTGGTCAAGGGATATCATGTCCCTGAGGACACACGGGGTGAGAAGCTGAACGGCACAAAGGGGACTCGGGAAAGTAGAGGTGGAGGGTTGAGGCGGGGGGGGGGGTTGTCAGGGGAGGAGCAGTACTCACAGGATGTACATGATGACTCCCAGGGACCACATGTCACATGACTTGTCATACTTCTCTGGACCCAGGACCTCAGGAGCTGCCAGAACAGGAAGCATGGGAGATCTCTCAGCCCCAAGGGTCTTGGGAACTAGGAAGGAGTCTTAAGCCTGAATAAGGTGAGGAGCAGGTAGGTACCCAGGCTGGGAGGTATGGCAGAGCAGACTGGTGTCTGGCACCTTCAGGGAAGGCAGCATGTGTGTGAAGTAGGGGGAGGAGAGACAGCTCCCAGAAAAAAAAAATAAACTGCCTTCAGACAGCCCCCTAGCTACTTAGCATCCCCCCCCCAGTCTCAACTTGGTAAGAGAGAGGAGGGAAGGAAGAAGGCCAGCCCCAAGTTTGGTGAGGCCCTGCCACTGACAAGAGGGTCTGGGTCTGCCAGCTCCATTGTGCTGTGTCTCTCATCTCCCTGAAGGCACAGCCTACATCTCACACCGCCGGGTTCCACTATCAGCATGGCTACCCACCCAGCGACCTCGGTCTTCCAGTCAGTGCAATGAGGTCAGCAGGCCTGACTTAACATTAAAAAGAGCTGCAGAACACGCCCTGGTAAACAGGGGGGCCGTTTCTGGAGTTTCCTACCCCTTAGCTGCCCTCCCTAAAGGAAAAAAGCTTCAGTCATTGCCCTACTCTCCGGAAGGGGCAATTGTTCGGGACCTTTGGCAATCTTGGAGGCTGCCTGGAGTTTTCCCAGAAATCGTGTGTGGACACCCCCAAGCCCCACCTAATTCTGGGCTCAAGGGACCCTTTCCCACAAGGCAGGTGACTAAGTACCCTGTATCCCTCTAATGTAGGAGAAAAGGCCTGCCCACTTTCTGAATATGAAGATGAAAACCAGAGAAAAACAACCGCGGTTGGGCTCCGTCCCGAGCTGATGGCAGCCTTTTATCACGTATATATTTAGAGCTGCTGTGATGTCATTCAGCTCACAGGCCACAGCCAGAATTTTCCTGGATCTATTTTCAAAAGCAGAAGCTGAAGTTTGGAAGAATATTTTTGCTGCCTCCGGCCCCCCCACGTCACCCGCCTCCATGCAGACAAGAGTGCTCCCTCCTCCCTCCTCATTAGGCTTTAACTCTTTGGTTCCCACAACCCACTGGCTGCCCCCCCACCCCATTCTACTGCCGTATACAGCAAGGGGGATACAAGCCACATGATTAAGACTCACCCACATAATAGGGGGTGTAACAGGGTGTTTGCAGGGCATTTTGGGTGGTTTCCTTGGCAAAGCCAAAATCGGTGAGCTTAAGCACAGCATCTTTCTCCTTGGATGTATAGAGTAGGTTTTCAGGCTGCATCCGGAAGAGAAAGAAAGCATTGGTGTAGACCAGAGTAACCATGCATCCTAATACACGATGAGCCAGCTCTATCTTATAAAAGATCTGGTCACCAACAACATGGATTGAACAGGGAAGGTGGGGCAGCAGCCAAGACCATGGGTGACCAGGTGACAGACAGCCCCTAGGCAGAAACTTCTGCTCCTGAGTTGGTGTGATTACTATGAAGGCAGAAAGTCACTGGGGTAGACTAGAAAGCAGACAGCTCATGAGCCAGTATTGCCAAGCGCATGTCCCACACCCATCCCAGAAGAAAGCCCACAAAGCTTCCTTTGAGGTAGGCCCACTTGAGGTAGCTCAGGGGAGCAGGTGCCTCACTCCCCCCCTCAACACAGACCTCAGGAGCTACACAGAAGAAATCTTCTAGCTGCAAAGCACAGATGGGCCTGGCAGATGGGAACAGCCAGCAGGGCTCCATGGAGGAGGCAGCCCTGAAGCTGGCTGTTAGTGAACAGGTAGGAGCCTGGCCTATGCCAAGGAGCAGGGGGGTGATTCCCAAGCAAAACTGGGGTGGAAGAACAGTGCTCCAGTTTGGATGCAGTGGGAGCTACTTCTTAGGTTCTGTTTGACCTTGGATCGGAATAAACAGAGAAGCGGTTTAGCATATTCTGCTCTGCAGGCTTTTCTTCCCTTAGGAAAAAGGGAACTTGAGGGCTAAAATAAAGCAAGCATTTAGAAGGTGGATCTGCTCTGGCTGTGTGTGTACCTGAATCAAAGAGTAACCGTACGGGCTGGCAGCCCTCAATCAGAGAGGCATGTCAGCGGCCTCTGTGCTCTCCTAGGTCCAGGCTTAGGAGGAAAAGAGCCAAGCAAAGGTGAGGAGGAACAGATTCTGTGCTAGCAGTGGGTCACACAAATACATATAGCCATGTATGTGTAGGGCTGACCTCAGTTTTCCCAGAAGAGAACATTGGAGCATTGTGCTTCCTGTGTTTCAAGCCCGTTCACTGGGATGGCAAGCAGGCCCAGCTCTGGGACCCCCTGGATTCCTTCCTCAAATAACCAGCAAAGGGCTTCTTTCTATTTAAATGCTGTTGTTTGGCAGCCTAATTTGTTTAAACTCTATCTGTGACTTCACAGAAGACCCGGACACGATAAGGCAGCCCCTATCAAAGGTCTGGCACATTGATGGTCATAAAACTTCTTGTTAGCCGGGCGGTGGTGGCGCACGCCTTTAATCCCAGCACTCGGGAGGCAGAGGCAGGCGGATCTCTGTGAGTTCGAGGCTGGGCTGGACCAATAGCCTCCAAAACAATACAGAGAAACCCTGTCTCGAAAAACCAAAAAAAAAAAAAAACTTCTTGTTGAGCAAGTGAACAAATGAACCAATGAATCCCCACGCAGCAACTTCACAGTTTAAGGTAAGATGGTTAATTTCTCAAAGAGCCTCAGTTTGCTTGTCTGTGAAATGGGTAATGGCCCCATCCTGCAGAGGAGGATTAAAAGACATGCTTGTCAGGGCCCACTGGCTGGAAGTAGGCAGTTATTCCTGTTACTATTGGGATTACCCAGTGTTTGAAGAAAACAAGGAGGTCCATCTGGCAGGAGCAGACTGAGTGAGCTGTGCCATGGGAGGAGAGAAGAACAGTCTGAGTGGGGAAGCTGAGGCAAGCCACTTAGCCTCAATCCAGTGAGTGCTGGGAGCCATCAGGGTGACTCCTTCGTTGACTCCCAGGAGGAGTGCTGCCAGCTCACCTTGACATCCCGGTGGGCGATGTTCTGGCTGTGCAAGAACTGGATGGCAGTGCCAATGTCCCGCATTATCTCTGCAGCCTCTGCAGGCACAGAGAGAGGGAGGGGAACACAGAGTCAGTTAAAAAGTCATGTGCCCTGAGGGGCGCTCAGCCCATCATCTCTCCTGAGCAGAGTCTGGAGGCCAGCACTAGATGGCAGTCCTGCAGCCCAGGTAGGTTTTCCATTCCAGTTATCCACCCAGACATTCCCAATTACTCCAAAAGTGTTGTGAGCCCACCCAGGTCTCCTTCCTCAGGCCTCCATGCCTCATATCAGTTCCGCCGTGGGTCAGAACCAAAAGCCTCGGAGTTCTCCACCTCAAGACCATAGGTAGTCCATCTATAGTGTTACAGATTCGAAGAGCAAACCCCTTGAGGGGGTTGGACATTCCATCTCATTCTCTTTAGTTCTTATGTGAATCTTGAGGTTCAGCGAGGGGTAGGCCTCTCCCGGTATCTCACAGCAACTCCAGTGTAGCCTTCCCACACTAACTCCTCACTGGCCCCAGGGCCACACAAACCTCTCTCAGTGAAAGCCTGGTCACCACGTTCCTGGATCCTGCTGAACAGCTCACCACCTTCCATGCTGCAAAGAGAGGCAGAGAGGGGGAGAGCTGAGTGTCACCAACTCACTCTGCCCTGGATCAGGGGCCTGTGGGCCATGGAGAACCTGGCAGATGGTGGGCTGTCAGCTTGGGTGGGTTGATCTGAACTTTCAGAACTAAGAAAAGATGATAAGACCAGATCCTTGCCAGGAAACACACTCCCTGTAGTGCTGGCTCTGCCTGGTTGTGAGACCTTGGACACGCCTAGTCCCATCCCAGGGTATTTCCCCAGATGCAGAATGAGACATGAGCTGTCATCTTCATGGCCCAATGCTCTCTGTGTGCTCAGTGTGGGCTATGCCCTGAGCTCCACCCTTCATGCGCATTGCTGTGGAACCTTGGTCTGGCTCTTTCCCTCAGCGACCTCTTTTGTTAAAGGAGAATAATAACACCAACCTCCAGGAGTCATGAAGATTGACTGTGTGATACACGGGGAGAGCTTGGAACAGAGTCAAGCTCGGGGTGAACACTTCATTCCGATCTTCTTCCACATTTAAAATTTGAGCTACAGAGACCCAGAAAGATTAGCAGGTGCCCACAGTCCCACGGCTAGTGGGTGGCAGAGCCAGGGTCTGAACCCCAAATCTGAGCAGCTAGCTAACTTATGGAGGGAGGAGAGACTTGAAAAGCAGACAAGAAAAGAACCCAGACCGGGGGCATAGAGTCTGAGAAAGGCTAAGATTGTGCCTCAGTGCTAATGGCACAAGCCTAGGGTGGAGGAGGCCAGTGACTCCTGTTCCCAGGCCTCATCACCCAGCATCCAATAGCACAAGTCCCATAGGAAGGAGAAAGCCAAGGAGCTGTGTGTATCCTGCTCCTTCCCAAAGCTCCCTGCCCACACATTCAGGACTTGGCAGCCTTTCCTGACAACTCCTTGCAGAGTGAAAGTCCTGTCCAGGAAGGTGACAGAGAGCCGTGGAAGTATTTTTCCTGCCCTTGTGGAAATACCCTGGTGGCCAGCTCTATAAATCCAAGGCCTGTGACTGACTACCCCACTATTCCTCAAGAGCTGGAGTGACACTCAGAGCTGCTATCTGAGGAAGTCCTTGGATAGCAGTGATCCTGGGGGCACAAGGACACCAGAGGGGCCCAAAGGGGGTACCTGCCTACCATTCCATGACGATGAGGAGGCAGCGCTTGCCATGATGCATGTTCTCATACACATCCAGGATGCGTACGATGTGGGGGCCGCCTGAGGCCTGCCAGTGGTGCTCCACCTCCTGCCGGGCCTTGGGGCTGTCGTACAGGAGCTGCGGGAGGTAGCACCAAAGGCATCAGGCTCATACTCACTGCCCTCCCTCTGCTCAAAGAGGCTTGCCCCCCCCCCAGGCACCAGGATTTTATCTGTGAGAGGTAGAATGAAAGTTCAAATCCAGTTTTCCCTGATTTATGGTCTAGTGAGCATCTAGACTTGAGGGGGTCAACCCTGGGCACAAGCAGCTTGGCCAATAGGTCTAGAGGCCCTTGGGAGGTGGGTGGCAGTTTAGAGTTCAGAGGTCAGAAAAGTCCCTGCTTCTCTTTTCAGGGGAAGCAAATGAAGTAGAGACTGAGTAAGGTTGGTGGTAGGTCACATGAGTCATGGGGCAGCAGGCCAGGGACCACGTATCTTTTAAGCCTCATTTTTATAACTGATGACAGGGTTGCCTGGTTATCCAGGCTGATTGGGATCTGCATATGCCAGGTCCTTGGTGACTCCTTGTGTTCCTCATTAGGAATCTCTATGGGGATGTGGGGGTGCCAGAGAAAGGCAAAAGGAAAAGTTCAGCACACAGGGAAGATGTTGGAACTGTATACACAGAGGCTGTCTGAAGAGGCCTCCAGGCCGGTGTCCATTAGTCTGTCCTTCTGGGACCCGACCTGAGTGGAGGGAGACACGGCTGCATTCCTGCAGGGGCAAAGGTAATTAAGACATCACGTTCTCCAGGAGTGGGTGCAGGAATAAAACTGTCACTACCAAGAAAAGTGCTTCTAAAATGAGTTGCTTGGAGCTGGTGAGTGGCTCAGTGGGTAAAAGTGCCTGTTATCAAGCCTGGAGACTTAAGATTGGCTGCTGGGACCCACATGGAGGAAGGAAAGGAACCAACTGCAGCAAGTTGTCCTCTAAACACACACACACACACACACCACACACACACACACACACACCACACACACACAACACACACACACAACACACACACACCACACACACACACACCACACACACACACACCACACACACCACACACACACACCACACACACACACACACACACCACACACACACACACACACACCACACACACACACACCACACACACCACACACACACACCACACACACACACACCACACACACACCACACACACACACACCACACACACCACACACACACACCACACACACACACACCACACACACCACACACAACACACACACACACAACACACACACACACACCCCAAAATTGGATATATAAGATAAAATTAGCTGTTTGGCCATGACTTTTAGCTTTCAACATAACTCCGTAGCCTCCCTGAGATCTGTGCAGAGCAAAGGGATGATACTAGAGGGATGGAGTCACCTCAAGGTGACCTCACCTTCATCCCTACAGACCCCAGGTTATAACCTAGAAACTCGGGCAGGGAGCACTCTAACTGAGGAAAATGACTGCTGAGTGGAGTTGGATGAAGTATGGGGGTTGAAGGCCTCCAGTACTTACTGTAGCCTTAACCAAGTACACACAGCTCCAAGCCACAGCCCACAACCCTGTACAGTGCAGCACAGAGTCATCCCCACAAGACTCATCTCAGTCAATCGGGTATGAGGTAGGTGAGTGTCAGGAATCTCACTCAGGTTAACAGCCTGGGGCTATGGCTGCCTTCCATAAGGCTGATCATCGGAAATGAGCAAACCCCGGGAGCTGAGAGAGCCTGGAGGAGTTGTGAAAGAACTCAGCATACCAGAGGAGAGGGCCCAGAGTGGGGACAATTGTGACAAGCCACCCCCAGCAGGCTTGCTCATCCAAGGACCAGCTAGCTGTATTTTATTTCTTATTTGAGGGAGGCTGGGATCAGTGCTCTGACCATCTCTGCCCTACTTAGCACCTGGAGGAACCTAGGACACACTGGCCTCAGTTTCCCCCATACAAGATGGGAGAGGCAGGCCACCTTACACAGGGCACAACTGAGACAGTTGTAGAACCAAGCTCTCCAGATAAAGACAGGGCAGTGTCTCAGAGAAGGGAGAGGAAAGCACTAGTCTCTGGAATCTTCTACCCTTTGGCTGTTCCTCTACCTACAGATGTTTCTCTCTGCTTCATTCTGGGAATACAGTCAGGGAGTCAGGGAGTCAATGAGTTAGGAAGCCAGGGGCTAGTAAGCACCTCCTTCAGTTCTGAGTTTCCTACTCTGTTACCCTGGCCAAGGTAGGTATGTTTGGAACAGCTGTAGGCCAAGGCCACTTCTGGGTACCATGGAGCCTGGCCTCTCTGAATACCTTTGAGGTCCACACTGGAGCACTGGCTTCCTGCTGTCAGAGCTGAGGACCTCTGTCTCAGATGCTGCAATTACCACAGCAGCCCACCTCCACCGTGTCCCTGTCAGGGTGGCTCTGGCTCGGATACTCTCATTTTCAGCCACAGGCCCCCCAGGGGAATCTGCCTTCTTTGCACATCAATCCTCTTCTACCTCCCAACTTTCCTGCTCCCTAGGCTGACCTGTCTGTCAGACCTCCCAGACTGGCTCTAGACCCCTCCTCACTCTGACTCCCTCTGTCATTCATTCCCACCCAAGTCCTCTCTCTTCTCAGAAACCCCAAGTTCACAGATAGAATGCATCCAGCAGGGTCAAAGGTCCTTCCTCTTCTCCATCTGTGGACACAGATCTCTTTCCACAGGCCTTCTAGATAAACACCCTCAGCCCCAGCACCCAGACTTCACCTACCTCATGATCTGCGACCTCTGGGCCCTGAGCAGTTCGTCCAGGCCAGCAGGCTGCCCCTGCAGGTCCCAAACAGGCCCTCCCTTTATTTTACCAGGCAGGTTGGGAGCCGGTACAGAGTGAAAGCAAGGCAGGTGAACTGGGGTTCCCTGGCTGGCTCTCAAAGGAAACCCCAGGGTCCCCAGCAAGCAAAGGAGGGGAGGATGGCAAGGGCTGGAGGAAGAAAGGGGTGAGGGATGGGAGAGGGTGGCCACAGAGGAGCTGTGGAAACTCAGAGCTGGGCCTGACACAGAGAAGCAGGTGGAACGGCTCTGAGATGGAGCTGTGTGAGGCCCCTAGCCTGCTTCCCACATAAACTAAACAGCCCTTTAGTTCCAAGGCCCTGAGAATAGGCACAGGCGTGGGACAATGGCTATTCCCAGCGAATCAATGAGTGTTTCCTCTGTTCTCTCTGCAGGTGAGACCACAGGGGCCAGAGCCCTGAACCTGGACCCACTCAGGCCCAGTTGCCGAGAAACCTGGACGGCCTGTCACTTCTGCCACCTTGATCCGTCCCTCAGTGTAGCCTCTAATCTGTGGTGTGTGCTGTGTGTTAGTACACGTATATGTATGGGCGTACTAGCCTGTTCGTGGACATGGCCAGAGCTCCACAGTGTCTTCTATTCCTCTCCATGTTCTTGTTTTTGTTTGTTTGCTTGTTTGTTTTTGAGACAGGGTTTCTCTGTGTGGCCCTGGCTGTCCTGGAACTCTCTCTGTAGACCAGGGTGGCCTTGAACTCAGAGATCCACTTGCCTTTGTCTCCTGAGTGCTGGAATTAAAGGCATGTGCCACCACTGCCATGCTTTTGGCTTGTTTGTTTGTTGTTTTGAGACAAGGTCTCACAGAACCCAGGCTGGTTTTGAACTCACTATATAGTCAAGAATGACCTTGATCTCCTGATCCTCCTGCCTCTACCTCTTGAGAGTTGGGATTATAGGCATGTGTCACCAGACCTGGTTCATGAAGCATTGGGAATCAAGAGTTCTACCAACTGAACTATACTGCCAGCCTCCAAATCTTTAAAAGCTAAGTTTCCTCATCTTTCCCCACAGCTAGAGCCTCCTCCTCCTCAAGATGCCCCTTAATGTCACCTCCTTCCAGAAGCCCTCCTGACCATCTTTCCTAAAAAGGACTCCAATAGTCTCCTTTCACCCTTTATTTTTCTCTGCCTGTATAGTTTCTGTTTGTTTGTTTAGTGAGTACAGTTTGCAGTGGATAAAATGTAAATGTCTCACTGACCTGGTTCAATGAGTTTAGACAGTCTCACTCGCCCTGGGAGCCACACACCCATCGACATGGAAAACATTCTCAGCTCCCACGTCAGAGCCCTCTCTACCTCCCATGCCACAATGCTCACGGCCTACAATTAGCTCGTTCCTTTGATCACTCCTTAAACAAATATACACAGACACTGTACCTTCAGTGTGCCTGGTTTTGTTCAGAACATGTTACAAATATCAGGAGGAGAATACATCATTATTTTTTAGATAAGAAACTGAAGCACAAAGAGAGGAAATAACTAGTCCCTAATCACAGGACTGTTCTCCCAAACTCTCCCAAGGCCAACATCCTGCTGCCTCCCTCCTCATCCAACTGTGGACCCACAGAGCAGGGTCTGTCTGCTTGGTCACCTCTGGTCCCCAGTCCTGGGGAACAGGGCCTGGCACAGAGCCCAGCCCTGCCTCTAATATTACTTGTAAATTAGGTGACTACATCCACGAAGGAGGGATGACAAGAGGAAACTCTTACCATGCATTATGGGAACAAGATAAGAAGAGGCAGGCTCTACAAAGGACAGGCACGACATCCTAGCCAAACTTTCTGTACATAGCTCCTCCATTCTTCCTGGTGAGCCAGACTTTACTTCCTCTTTCAGGGACCCATGATAACTTAGTCTAGTCCCCGTAGCAAATTGCCATCATTCATGTAGGCACATGACTCTACATGCTCCTTCTTAAACAGTGTCCCCAAGCATGAACACAGGCTCAGGGACAGGAGACCCAGACTCTATTCTTAGTATGTCCTAGGCCAATACCCTTGTCTCTCTGGACCTCTGTTTCTCCAGTGTAAAACTGTAAGTCTCAGTAACAAACAGAGCCTTTGTACAGGGCCCACTTGCAAAGTACTTATTATAGCCATTGCTATAGCCCCCATAGGGATCCCATAGCCACACACTGGAGCCCAAGTCTACTCAGAAAGGACAACAGTTTACCCCGTCACAGTTGTAGGAGGGACAAAAAGATTAGGGAAGGAGCTTATGACAAGCCAATAGACACCCCCCCCCAACCATA